AGCTCAGCAATGAGATAATGACCAGCAAAGGCAAATAACTGTAAGGCATGAAAAAAATGAAACACCTTGTCAAGCCTATAAAACTTTAGAGTTTACCTTTTTTTTTTGGTATCCATGCATCAGATCCTGACTGGGAGCAGCCTTTCGATTTCAAAAATAATTTTTAGAATCGACCCAATATTGACGGCGAAATCCCGTGACAGACGTAGAAAAAAATACAGTCGAAGTGAGAATATACTCCCTCCAATTTTTTTAAGTAAAATATTCGAGAGAATAAAAAATCTTTCTTACAGATTTGAATATTCAGAATATTAGCAGATTCATTACAACCTTCAAGTTTTATATATTATTAATATGTAGGTTTATGTATCTATGTAACTAGGTAAACGTACCAAATACATACACATACATAAATATGTATGTGTATGTATTTGGTACGTTTGTGTGTATTTATTTATCTCATTGTTTCTCTCTAACTTCTCAATTATTTTCTCTTACTTAACATATCAATCTCTAGTGCACCTAGTCTCACATTTCAGCACCACCCTAAGGTAGACTGGGAGAAAATGCCTGTGGCATTAAGTCCGCTATTGTACAACCTACACTTGTGAAAAAAATGACCCCATTATCATGATCATCATCACCACAATCAATAATATTATTACTTATAGATGGAGTTTATGGTATAATAAAACATAAATATTCGGTATTTCTGGACCGATACTAACCTTCAAGAAAAGAGAGTAGGTACTCCCACCTCTGAGGCAGGCCTTTGAGGTGGGAGTACGCTCTTTTCTACAAAATCTATATTGCGGCAAGAGAATCTTTATATCTCATGTGCGGCGGTAGTAACTTTTCATAAGGAGACACATCTGGAAGTTTGCCGCGTATCTAAAAAAAGGAAGGGAAAACATAAAAATATTGCGTCAGCCCGTATTGGGGTCTGATACAGCGGTCTACACTGTTTTATTTTAATTAGTCATTTTCACTGTGTATAATATCTTAATTAAGATTTTTTACGGTACCATAAGACTACCCTTTAAATAATATAGTCGTAGGTTTTAATAGTCGGACTTTCGAGTTACAGGTGTGCATGGCCGGCGATAGTCATTTACCATTAGATGACCCGTTTGCTCGTTTGTCCTCCTACATCATTAAAAGAATAAGCCTTCTTTGAATAGAGGGCATTTGTGAAGTTATACATTTTCACTCGTATTAATGGCTAGACATCATGCTTCTTAAAATATACACAAATTAATATCTTTTCAACGTTCACGAACGAAGTAAGTAGCTTCCTTTCAAGTAATTATTTAACACTGCCCTAGTTTTACATAAATTGCCTTTTAACAGGTTCTTACCTACCTACATACTAATACTTTCCCAGATGTCAAAATGCAACCATAATTCGGGTTAATTTATTAAGAACCGATTTTAAATCATAACTTGAAATCTCGTTAACAGCAAAAGAGTATAAAAAGCACTGAACCTTTTTATTTTGTCTTCAACTATTATTTAGACGAGCGCGAATAAAAATAATAATATTATTATTTCATTTCATTCCAATAAATAATTTTTGCTGCTTAGTCTTTGACATCGCATTATCGTTAGTTCTGTTCTGTTTTTATAGGTTCTTCAATCAATGAGATATTTTAATTTAATTGAATACAGACAAACACATAAATAACAAAATGATACTTAATAATAAAATTTAAATTGGTTGTCGGCATATTGGCTTCTAGGTGAAAATCCTCAATTCCATCATAATTCCATTCAGATAGCGCCTTTGGCAATGACTTCAAATACTACTGACTGACTGAGGTACTGTTCCCTTGTTCACAGTTTTTAAATATTACGTGTACTATAATAGTAATATAATATGTGTGTTGTTGAATCCTTCCATACATTATGTTAGTTAATCAATAAAATGGTTTAGAAAAGTCCACGTAGACGTAAACTATAAAGTCTAAATCTAGTGGATACTTTTTTTTTTGTTTATTGACTGATAAAAATCACAATGACTATATTGTGTCTTCTACCAGTTAAAGGCTAATATAAAGGAATACCTACGTATACATTAATTCATTTATGGTTTTATAATCTCGAAACGGAAGCGGAAGTGTATTGTGTCTCTTTGTATTTTCTTTAATAAATTAATTTATGTGTATACCAATACGATAGTTAATATGATTAAACTACTTTTATCTAATAATCCTTATGAAACTAAGTATGACACAAGACTTTGAAAAACTAAATCCTTTACTGTATTAAGTTTTTTGTAAATGAATAAGTAAAAAAAACACTTACCTCTTATCAAATTTTATAGAATATAACAATTTGACACTTAATAGACCATGGCTATAATTTTACTTAATAATCCAATACCTACTGAAAGTCACTAGTGTCAACTATGATTTATGCTGTGCCAGTGTACAATTTCCTTTTGTTAATTATCACTTACTCGTGGTGAAGATCCCCCAATTAATAGTAAGTATTGCTTTTCTAGTTTTATTTTAAAATTTACATATTTAAATTACCTCATTGTGAAACTCTAGTATCCTTAATTGTTATACTACAGTAGCAGGGTAGTACATACAACAGTAGTGTAGTGTAGTACAACAGTAGTGTAGTGTAGTACAACAGTAGTGTAGTGTAGTACAACAGTAGTGCTATCACAGGATTTACAGGATATTCTGTATATACTATACAGAATATACAACTCTATTTTAGCACAAATCTCTGATCATTTAAGTTGTAATCCTAACCGGTCACAAACGTAAAGGCATAAAGGGTTTCTAAAAGTATATATAAATCAATTAACCTAAATACAGGGCTACAGCTTTTCAAAATCTCGAGAAGCAGGTCTGGAGATGAAGGGTCTGATAGCAGAGAGAGCAAAGCCTTTTCGCTCTCCTCCAAATAGCAGCAAAGACTTGCAAGTGTGGTCTTTCAAGAACTATGCTACATACCATCTCTCTTGATAGTAGTTCCAATTTAGGTATGCTCTTTCCATGGTCTCATATACGACAAATCGATTTTATTTAAACCTTGTACAACATTTTTAACTATTGTGTACAAAGACTCATTTATAATCAAAGTTTCATCGATCATCGTTGGCAATCATACCAAAATTCTGACTTTCAGGAACCCTTACCCTAGCTCTTTCGCCCTATGCATCTTCCTTACCAAAATTTACCTTCTTCCGTTGTTCCGCCTGTAAAAGATAGAATTACCAAAGGAGGGTTAGCGTCAAGCATGCAGCCGGCCATTTAAGGAACCAGCCAAAACCTTTGCAATATCACTCATTGAGCTAACTTCATATAAAATTATGTAATTTCTTTTTATTTTGTCATGGGAAATTAAACAACAGTTTTAATTAACAAATCGTGGATATTTATTGAAATAAAAATAATAAAAATGAAAAATAATAAAAACAGTTTATCTTTCACGTTTACATAATAAAATTTGTCTTAGTTTTTTTCTTTATTTTGTCTCCATTCGTCATCCTGTATTTTACTTCGACTTATACTACTGTACTTGTTTTTGCATCAATTAAATTGAAAAAGGATTAAAATTTCATTTTTCTAATATATTCTAATAAGTCTAATATTACCAACCACACAACGAAATTATTATAAAACTTTTTTTTTTGGTTCCGACTGTACAACTTCGATACATTTTACAATGGTAAATTTAAAAAAATATTTTTGCTAAGCAACCATTACCATTTATAGTTGTTATAGAGACGATTGCTCGAAAAATATTTTTATGAATATAAATAGGTTTTGTCGAAATAGTTAGATCCTGTCCAGACAACGTTTCAGTAAACATTAGAATAATGTTCTACTTAATAAACGTCCTCTGGAGAAGTCCTAAACATGAAGGAGACAGATATGGACGACAAAATGTTTCTATTATAATTTACTTATAATTATCTAATATAAATTCTATTATAATTTACATTAAGTACGTATACTGAAAGATTTTCACGCTTGGACTAATTTAGTTACGAAAATTCAAGGAGAAATTATATAAAAACAAAACTGGATTTTTTTTCAGTCTTAATAAAAATAACTAGCTCCCACAAGAAATAATAGCACGTATCAATATATCGAAACAAATATCTCACAGTGATTTAATTATTAATTTAATAATTTAATTGCTAATGAAACATACAAGTACCGCGATAACACCTACTATTAACCGATTCCAATCTCGCTTTCTACAATGCTTAAATAAATTATCGATTACAGGAAACTCACCGTTTTCTCACCAAATTTTGTTATAATCCTTGAAATATTACCCTCTATAAATATGAACATCAATAGGTAGGTACTCGATTTACACAAATAAACTTACATCAAATATGTACACAAGTTTGTTTATCTAGGATAGGAAACATTTCGCTTATTATTGTACACAATATACTAAAATTACGAAACATCTTACTCATCAAACACATACTACATCAAACTATGAAGATCCTAGGAAATTCTGGAAAGAATTCTTATTTAATTGACACTATACAGCTTAACAATTAAATAGTAAGTTATTTAAATCAACATAGCTAACTTTGGCATTGGGTTCCACATTTTTTCATAATAAAAAACATGTCAAAACAAGGTCGAAAATGCATAACATAAAATCGCAGACTTATACAGCCTCCGAACTAAACACAATGATAGAAAACTAATATCAACAGAGTAACGGTAATCAACACTGCTCAGTACGAGGAAGATATGTCACTTACGATTATACAAACTAAATGTAAATGCCCTTCGGTGCAAACTTTTGGGCTCGTATTGCAGTGATCAAAAACAATAATATCGCCGAATTCAATTCTTACGACTAGAAATTGAACAAAAACCGGCCTGAGTCCGATTGGCTCGTTTACCAAACTTTTGTTATGAAACGCACCAAACCACGCGAACATCTCCACGACCTTAGAAGATCTGGCTAGGTGGCGCTGGTGGTGGCAGGCGGAGCCCGCCCCACGGGTAGAGTCACGACGCCTCGTCACGGCACGCGTTAGAGTCATCAGATAGAGCTAATGCAGCACCATTACTTTGATTCACAACACACTTTCGCATATGTTTTTCAAGCGTCGAGGGTACAGAAAATGGCATCTCACAGAACCTGCAACGGTATACATCTTTGCCTAATCGTCCATGCGTCTTCATGTGTCTCGTTAGTTTGGAGCTTTGAGCACATGCATATGAGCATAGTTCACATTTGTACGGCTTCTCACCAGTATGTGATCTCCGGTGGACAGTAAGATTCGAGCAATTTTTGAAAACTTTGCCACAGAACTCGCATGTGTCATTGCGACGTCCTTCCTTTTTCAATAAAGGGTTTTGTAATAAACCGTTACTGCTGTTCTTGAGACCATCAAATATGTTATCGGGAGGCCGCTGGGCATGTAAGGTTGGAAGCCACCATCCCTCCCCTCTTTCCATATCCAATTTGATTCGTTTGGATGCTTCAAAAGGATTCTCAAAGGGGTTGAAAAGAGGATGTGGTTGAGGTGGCATCTTTGCAAACTCCTCTTTTAAACGCAACGCGGCCGTCGGTGGCATACCATTCGGTTTGTCACTGGGTGGGCCATTGTTGTTATCTCTATCTTTAGCTAATTGCCATTTTAGCGAATTTCCAGATTCTTGCAGAGCTTGTTTAAAAGCTTCGCTATACTGAGCAATGTTAGACAAACCAAATTTGTCCATTAGTTCGCCAACAACAGACGCAGTAGGCGGGTTGTTGGGTAAAGCAGGTGTCTGTTTCCGTGAAGGCGCAGATGGAACACTGCTATTTGAAACCGTTAAGTCTTCTGCTTCCTCTACATCATCAACATCTTCATTTTCTTCCTCTTCTTCGCCATCTAACTCTTCGTCCTCCAAATCATCATCAGTGTCGTCTTCGCCTGTATCGCCACCTGATTCACCGTCTTCTCCATTTGCGTCAGAACTTCTATGAATCTTCATGTGTTTTTTGAGTTTGGACGCCTTCTCGAAAGCCTCATCACATTCGGTGCATTTAAATGGCTTTTCGCCCGTATGCGAGCGACGGTGGACAATTAGATTGTTTTCAAAACGGAATTTCTTTCCACAAAACTCACAGGAATGGATAGCCTCATCACTATTACGTTTAACAGGTGGGGTCGATGACGGTCGTTCTGAGGGTGGCGCGTCGGCCGTTAACGGTTCAGTACGTCGTTCTGGTGACGTTGAACTGTGTGGCCTCGTCGCTTCACGAGGCGTGTCCACCGTTCCGGGTCCGGCGCCCACCGGTGGAGTCTGGCCGACTCGGGAGGGCGACGGGGAAGCGAACGGAGGAGATTGCTTCCTGGGGCTAGGAGAGCTCGAATTGCCTGTGGCCGCCCCTGGACTGGTCGTACCGGCCAGTTGCCGCAAGCGCTGCGAGTAAAAATCCAGCTGGGGTTCTAGTGAGAGAGGTTGTGAGACAGGTGGGGGTCTATCTCGGCTGGATATCGACGTTGGTATGACAGGAGGTCTGTCCGCCGGGGAAGGAAATGCTTGATGTGGGGGCAGTGAGTTTGCCGCCACAGCAGCAGCAGCTGCTGCTAAGTTTAGACCATGATGACGGAACTGTTCTGAAACGAGCTGTTCCATCCTAAATCGATGGTCGTGATGGTTTGGACGTGCAAACAATGGTGATGGAGGAACCGATGGGTGCGCTAGTGGTGGTAGGCTACCGGGTAAGGGCATCCTCAATAGACCACCTACTCCAAATGGTGAGTGCATATCCGGCGGTGGTAATAAAGGATGATGACGTAGGCTAGGTGGTGGTAGTGGCGCACCAGCAGACGAGCACCCTGAGCTTGATGATGAGGTACTAGACGACGAATGATTTTGCTTGCTTGGTAACTGCTGTGGCATTGCCTCAACGTAGATCTTGACGCCATGCACGTGTTGGACGTGTTGCAATAGTCGCCACGCTGAGTGCACACGCGCCTTGCACGTCGAGCAAACGTAGTTGCTAGGTTCTGTTGACAAAGAGAAAAATCTTTGAAAATTTGTACGTCGATCAACGAATAGATGTAGATAGTTTCCGATGGAAGATTTACAGCAATATTAACACCGGCAAAGTGTCTAGTAATAGCTCTCACATATCGTAGTGTTGGGCCTAGGGTGAACGCGTGGTGTGCATGTTAAATAGTAACGGTCCAAGGGTTCGAGGCGCAGCGGTGAGTGATCGCCCCTCCGTGTCCCGCGTGATTCATGCACCTCTAAAATCTTATGAAATATACGCGGGTTCGGATCACGTACGCACGCGCGGGTTAAGACTGTTGATATTGAAATCTATGTATGTAACACTAGCCCGCTAAGGGAAAAATGAATAGAGGTTTCTTTTATTAAACGGAAGCTTAGTTACCCTTATTTGAATATGGGCAAAAGTGCCTATCATTTCATAACTTATACTCGTATTGAACGGAGAAAATCGACTGTGCTACCAACCTGCAAATGATATCTGTCTAGACACTTTTAGGTGTAGTTATAAATAACTATATGATAGTGTATCTGAAGACGGAATAATTTTGTGTTAAGATGAATATCAGTAGGTACGTTACTGAGTGATGATTTTATATCAGCTGTCATACGTTATTACGCGTCCACTATCATGATAATAGTCTATGGTAAAGTTACGACTAATTCCTAGCACAAATATTCACCTTAAATAAATCGGTAAATTAAAATAAATCATTTTGAATGAGGTTCTAACAATGTTGTTTAACCTTTTAATATAATTACAATTTGATAATTTGTTAATCGAATGCCTTTCCGTGAAGTATGTTGCAGCATAATTTATGTGTTACGCTCTAAAGATGAAGTGATGTGGTCAAGGCGCGTCCAGTCACTCCTTGCGATTTGATTGCTCATTGTTAATCCGAGACAATTTTATTGTGGAGACAATCGTCTCATGTCTTAGCGACTGTGTTGTGAGGCGAGCTTCCAATATCGATAAGTTTTATCTAACAAGCTTTTATTACATTTGAAAATTTAATAAAAAATCTTTTTTTCTTTGCCGGCTTTTGAGGAAGGAGTTTGCACTTTTCTTAAAGGTTTGAAGGTCGCATCGGTCCGGCAATATCGCAGGTGATAACTTCTTCCACAGATTGGTTGTGCGAGGCAAAAATTATCTTGAAAAGCCAATTATTTATTATTATTATTATTATTAATAATAAATCAATAAATGTATTTTAAGAAATCACTTACAATTTTTTCAATTTAAATACTGTTTATGATTTATCTATACATATATGTATATATATATATAATATACTCGTACATGTAGATTCATTTAAATATCGACAAATGTATGGATTGAATTAAATGTAAACTAGCACTTATATTTATAAAAGTAGAAAAAGTAAACCTGTGTATATTACAGTGTACTAATTAAACTAAAACGTATGACGTCACCATACCTTTTCGGTGTATGTATGTATCAAAACATCGATACGGTTCCTCACTAGTCCAGTGGGCGCGGCACGATAAGATCTCCTCTGTTAAGACGATTATTGAAATGTAACGGTCAAATTGTGACCGACCGGAAAGATGGCACATACAAGGTGTGTGATTACTTATTTACTATGTTATAAAAACAATCGATTATTGTATTTGTATTTTTTTTAAGACAACGCCCGCACTAGGGATATATCTTGCGTCACGAGAAGTTTACAAACATAAAACAGATACAAAGAACACAGATACAACGACTGAGAAAAACTATTTGTGGATCACACAAAGTGTTGTCCAATGTGGGGATCGAACCCACAACACTGAGCGCGGTAAACACTACGCGATCCTTGCAGTCAATATATTGTGATATATTATTGTCAAATTGATCATTGCTTTCGAAATAAGAAATGATAATAACATAACGAATAATAACAGTGGGTTGATTGTATTATTCTGCATCAATTCAAAATTCTAAGACAAGTTGAAATGTGTATTTCAGGTGGATAAACAATAAATAATTTGCTTAACTTTTTAAAATCGGGACGTTTTAAACATCTGAATCATTGAATTTGCTAATATCAATTCAAGGACTTTAAATACCATGAACTATGCATTAACAACAAGACGAGTGGAAAAAAAGATATGCTACTATCTCAAGTAGTGAAATTCGTCAACTTCTCGTTCAATGTTACAATTCTCCTAATCGTTATCTTCTGTTAATTGCTTCCTACACTTTAACCATTCAATGGTGATGTATAAATGTAGATATCGTACCAATAGTAGACCATGCTGTATATGAATTTATCGCTATATCAATATTGTGACCTTTTTGTTGGGGGCATTGTTCATTGTGTTGAGTTTTGGTCATCATACGGTACCGAAGACAGAAATATTTATATTGTTACCTTCGAATAACATTTTTTGTATATTATTGTGGAGAAGACAAACGAACACACCCGATAATTGACCACCATCGCCGTGTGTTGTACCGATTAGGCAATGAATACCTTAGTATTCAATGTAGAAGAGACTAGAAGAGAAATAAAGAATGTAGCAGGCTGTTTTTCCTAGGTTAAAGGAAGAAGAGTGTTGGATTTTTCATACTAAACTATTACCTATTTCTATTCTGTTCTCTTCTTTTGTCAAGTGACTCAATTTGACAATGGTACCTAAAACTGTTTATAACAGGATATATTATTAATAAAAAAACATAAATACCTATCAGAATGAAACACCAATAAAATATTATTAGTACTAATCCAACTCCAGGGACCTTAGTAGATAAATACCGTCGCCTGATTTAAACCATACTACTTTAATAATTATTTTTTTTGTTGTCCATACCCATACGTCTTAAGTACGGTCAACAAAAACGTTCCAGTTCGATTGATACCGGATTACACCGATTACTGACGCTTGTAATTTTCAATCGTTCATGGCACTGATAACGATCTATGGTCAAAGCATGTGTGGTTGATAATTAATTGTTGTAGAGGCCTAGGCTGTTATTTGGGTGGTCGGATTAAATGTTAACAGAACATAGCTTGCAATTAATGTGACATATGTATGTTATTGAGATGTTAGACTACTTTAATGTGCGTAGGTTTTTTGGTTGAACTTAATTTTGTATGTACATTGGTTAGATTGCTGTTGATTTGCTGTCATTTTTTAAAGTCTGTCTGTCTGCCTCCAAAACTGATTATCACATCTATATGAACATTAAATGGGACCATTTCAGAATAAAACCCTTTCGAACTAAAAAAAAATTTTGAAAATCCGTCTATATATGACGGAGTTATGCTAAAACATACAGAAAAAAAATTAAGCATCCGAATTGATAACCTCCTCCTTTTAAAAGTCGGTTAATAAAACAATGTGGCATGGAAATATTTCTTATGAATACACGTGTATCATGGTGATAAGAAATATATTTTCATTAATTATTAATTATTACTTAATAAAAGAAGATTTTTAAATTTTCACTATCAAATTTTTAGCACTAAGATGATCAAATAAGGAGCATATACATATACATAGTCCGACCGACTTTAGAAACGCCCCGTGTTAAATCTCTATGGATTTTAAGTGAGAAAGTATGTCCTCGATTATCCTACGATTAATTATTAGACTAAATATTCTTAATCTGATTCAGTCCAGGTAGGACATAAAAAGACACCGGATTTGAATCTCAAAACAGAAAATATTAATCGGTTGACTGCGAAAATTAATCTTTAAAATTTATTTGCAAATAGTACCAATAACTATCCTAATCAAGCACCATATCAATACAGAATTAAACAAAACTTCGCGTTATCCTGATACAAAAAAAATGTCTAACAACCGTTTCGATTTCAAAAGGCAATCGTTGATTACCGAGCATTGTGTGGGCCAGGAGCCATTGGGAGTGAAATTTTTAAACACGGGGGCTTCGGGGTCCACCTGGCCCCTTAAGGAGGAGGACCCCCCGCCTGCGGGTGGATCGCTTAGCTCCGGAAAAGCGTATCCGGTTGTCGTGGCCGTTTTACGAAATAATTTATGTATGTGTGCATTTCTCTTTGGAGTAATTTTTATGGTGTTTGATGATTGACTTTTTTGAGTATGTTAATTTGTTAAGTGATGGGAGTGCCTACCTTATGTGTGGGTATCTTCGGTTTAGTCGATGCCTTTCTATTACTAAGATGATAAATTAATTATTTAGTAACTTTTCAATATTCCGTTGTTATAATGATTACGCAGTTGAAAGATTAATATACCCAAAATATTTTATGTTTTAGTAAAGTTTAGATGGTCTAATACCTAAACCTGATGCGATTAAATTTCGCATCAATTTTTAACAGAGTTTAAATAGAATTCCTGCTCTGAATTAAAAAATTAAACCAATTAAAAAGTTGACAATCACTTGTGCGACTACGGTTAAATATCTTTCAGTGAAAAAGTATTATTGCTTAACAAAAATCGTGAAGAGTTTTTAAAATTTTACAACAAAATCAAAGTTTAAGTGAAAATGCGGAATACCGTCGGCCCATATAGTACATTTCTCGACCGGAAGCCGCCAGCGCTGCTTCCGGCGACGACAACAGTTGTTCGCACCCCAGCGCCTCTTGCGGACACCACTAGAAACTACAGATAACCACCCGACTGTTCACTAGTGTTGTTTACTCACGTACCTACTTGAGAACAAGCTCATATATGTCAAGCTGTTTATGTACAGACTAGACATGTGTATTAACATTTAAGTCCAAGTACTATTTTACATATATATTTAAGTCTAATTAAAACTAGAAATACTGCCTATTAAAACGAGGTGTACTAACCCTAAAATCACCATTAACCCAAAATTCTATAGAACTTAGTTACTGGCACTGGAAATAAAACACTACCTAGTGTAAAATTATTAGGTACTATTTTGAAAATTATCTTTACTATTACTTTGACGTTATGTTTCGTCATATCTTGAGTTCCTTTTTATTCCTCACAGTAAGGTAGAATTCTCCATGGAGGAAACTGACCCAAAAATATATTA